TGAGAGACAAGGACCAACTAAAAGCTTTCCCACATTCCCTACTATTCATAGAGTTTCATTAAAAATGGTACAGCATCAGAAGCCATCTTCTGACTTCAAGGGAAGGAGACAGATTCACCATTATTATCAGCCCAAAGCTGATCAATATACCTCCATTCTCCAACCTTTGTACCAATTTTGACACCAGCCATCTTTCCCACAGGACTACTTCTCTGCTGGGTTCAATAATTCACTGCAGTGGCCACATACAACTCACAGACCGTACTCACAATTAACAAGATTTATTAGGAAAGTAACACATCACAGTTCAAGACCAGGATCAACATGGAAGTTAACAGGAACAACTCAGGATACAGTTGTTCAATCAAGACAGCTTCTTCTCACTCTCTGCCACTGGGTCTGGGTCAGGGCCTTGCTGATGCTGGGCCCTGCTTAGGCCTGGCCTCTGCCCTACCCATGTAAGTGCTACAGCTCTTTAGCCATGCCAATATGTGCCTGGAGTCACCATAATCTACCAGGAAGCCTCCTGCACAAAGATACTCTCTTGTTCCATGGGGCAGCAAGCCTTTTCTCCCACCAAGTGCCCAGAGGCACTCAGCTCTCTATGGGGGTTGTCACGTCCAGTGTGGCTGTCAGGAAATGCTGGCTTCTTGGTTCTTCTGCCACCTATTTTTTTTTGCTGTTTGTTGCTGCTTCTCACCATCGTGCACTGCTCTTCCTACACTTAAGCTCTCTGCTGAGTCTAGGATGTTCTCAGCACAGGGACTCCAGATCCAATGGCTGCACTCTACCAATGGCCTGGCTTCCTGATGGTACTGAGGTCCCCCTAGCCTCTCTGGGATTGGCTCTTTTTAAAACCTAGTAGGATAGTGAAACTCACCAATTCCACAGAAGGGTTTCATGCACCTTATTGCATTGTCCCACCCAATCATTTCATGGGAGTTACAAAACCATGGCTAGAAGGGCCTTATGATAGCAATTCATGGGACCATAGGTTCTCTCCACTGTGAGATATTGTATATAGTCAGTGAGATGTGAGTAATGACTAAAGGCTTTCCCACATTTCTTACCATCATTGAGGCTTTTCTCCATGGTAAGTTTTAACATGCTTACGGAAGGATGAGAAACAACTAAAAGCTTTCCCACATTCCTTACATTGATAAGGCTTCTCTCCACTGTGAGATCTTACATGGTCAGTGAGATGTGAGGACTGAAAAAAGGCTTTTCCGCATTCCTTACATTGATAAGGCCTCTCTCCACTGTGTGTTCTTATATGGGTAGTGAGGTGTGAGGACCGACTAAAGGATTTTCCACATTCTTTACATTTATAAGGTCTATATCCATTGTGAGCTCTTATATGGCCAGTGAGGTATGAAAGCTGACTAAAAGATTTTCCACATTCCTTACATTCATAAGGCTTTTCTCCACTGTGAACTCTTCCATGTCTAGTGAGTTGTGAAAACTGACTAAAGGCTTTCCCACACTCCTTACACACATAAGGCTTCTCTCCACTGTGAACTCTTAAATGTCTAGTTAGTTGTGAAAACTGCTTAAAGGCTTTCCCACATTCTTTACATTCATAAGGCCTCTCTTCACTGTGTGTTCTTATATGGGTAGTGAGATGTGAGGACCGACTAAAGGCTTTCCCACATTCTTTACATTCATAAGGCTTCTCTCCACTATGAATTCTTATGTGTCTAGTGAGTTGTGAAAACTGACTAAAGGCTTTCCCACATTCCTTACATTCATAAGGTTTCTCTCCACTATGAACTCTTACATGTCTAGTGAGTTGTGCAAATTGCTTAAAGCCTTTGCCACATTCTTTACATGCATAAGGCCTCTCTTCACTGTGTGTTCCTATATGGGTAGTGAGGTGTGATGACCGACTAAAGGCTTTCCCACATTCCTTACATTCATAAGGCCTCTCTCCACTGTGAGATCTTATATGTATAGTGAGAGATGAGGAAAAACTAAAAGCTTTTCCACATTCTTTACATTCATAAGGCCTCTCTCCACTGTGAGTTCGCATATGTGTAGTGAGAGATGAGGAAAAACTAAAGGCTTTCCCACACTCTTTACATTCATAAGGCCTCTCTCCACTATGAGTTCGCATATGTGTAGTGAGGGATGAGGAACAACTAAAAGTTTTCCCACATTCCTTACATTCAAATAGCCTCTCTCCACTGTGAGTCCTTATATGTCTAGAGAGGCTTGAGAGATGACTAAAGGCTTTCTCACATTCCTTACATTCGTAAGGCCTCTCTCCACTTTGAGTTCTTATATGTTTAGTGAGAGGCAAGGAACAACTACAAGGTTTCTCAAAATCCTTACATTTACATTTCTCTCTCACATGAAGTTTTAAGTAAGAAGGACAACTGCAATCTTCTCCACATGCCTTACAATGATAAGGTTTGTACCCAGTTTGAGATCTGATGTGATGCTTAATTGATAAATGATCCACAAAGGCTTCTCCACACTCAAGGCAACGACAAGGATTTACTTCAACAGGAGTTCTTCTGAGATGAGTAAAATTTCCAATCCAACTGAAAGTTTTTCTACACTGATTATCTTTTTCAGTTTTATTTACTTTACCATCTTTTCTTTCGCAGAGGCTGTCTTCTGTACATATTCTGTTAAAAATAGGAAGCACGTTGTTAGAATTCAATTTGTTACCATTTCCTAATTACCAGACATAGTGAATGTGTGTTTTCTGCCCTGGGTTGTCTCATGTTGCACAGGTTGAATCATCTCACAAAGGGTGCTACAATTACAGTCAGTGTTTCTAAGTAATGGAACTTTCTGATAATTAGGTACCAGTCAGATCTGTTTCAAATATTCAATATATGATTCACATTTATGGAAATACTACTGTGTTGTGAAAATTATGTGAACACACTATCTTAAAGCTAGTTTAAAAAACACACATACACAAATGTCAAGACACCTTAAGACTCTTCTGAGGAACCACTCACTGTCATGTGAGTAATATTCACCTCAAATGTCTTCCATGGTTGTTGTACTGATGTTCGACACCATGGAATTCACAGATTTCTCCTGACATGGAGGACCAGGAGTCATTCTTCATAGATGTTTGTCCATTATTATCCTGTTTAAAGACTGACCCAATAATTTTAAGTGGAATTTCATAAGATGAAACAAAACAGTAAGGAAATTTTATGAAGAACAAGACGTGTGAAGAAAGATCGACTTTGAGGCATTTGGTTGTTACAGGACTTCGTCAATGGTCAAAAGGGTAAGAAATTTACTAAGAAATAACAGTGAAAATTGAGAATGATGGTGATAGCACAGTATAATGAAGAAAAATCACTAACAATGAGTCAATTCTGACTCATAGCAACCCCTTGTGGGGTTTCCAGGCAGTAAATCTTCACAGAAGTAGATTTCCCCATATTCCTTCCACAGAGCGCCAGTGGTTTTGAACTACTAACCTTCTGGTTAGCAGTCAAATGCCTTAGGCACTGCGCCATATAATTAGGAATGCAAAACAAAAAGGAATCGCAAATAATGCGTGTGTGCAAAGATAATATTAAAAGAGGAAATGGGGAAGGTCTTTTCCAACCAATACAGAAGGCATGAGAGGATTCACGAAAAATCAAGTTAGCTCAAGCCCGTGTATAAGTTCCACCTCTTCAAAGCAAAAGAGATTTTTATTTTGAGTTGATTTTTTCAAATGTAATTCCATCCCAGCAAAGCTGGTTAATCAAAGGATTCTTGCCTTCCTGGTGCACCTTGATACTATAGCTTTGGATAAGTCCTATCTCTCCTTTCCTCAGATCTTATTCTTGCTTCCCAGAGAGAAAAATTAGTGTGGTTGACATGGTGCACATGGGAAAAGACAGATCATAGGGAAGATAGACCAGTACATTTCCCTGACACTGAGCCAACAATACTTTGGGTTCCACAGTCTCTACAGACGGACAGTTGTGAATTTCTTTTCAGCAAAATTATCATATCAAATTTTTAACAAATGAGGTCCCAAGCAATACATCTCTCTTTACTGTAAAGTAACCCCTGATGCCAATGCTCTCATGTATAACATTTAAAAAGAGATTCAAAGTTTTTACCAACAAGACAACTAGTCAATTTAACACAGAGATTTTTATATTCATGGGGAAGCTACTAGAGTCCAGGATCCATAAGGGCAGTGAAAATGCCTATCATGTTTGCCAGTGTATTCCAATTCCTCAACCCAAATCCTATAAGAAGGTCAACGAGCACAATATATTTATTCACCAAGTAAGAAAAATGAAACTATCCTTACCTAAGTCCAAGTTCCTAAAGGTTTCCATCATCACATCTCTGTAGAGTTTCCTCTGAGAAAAATCCAGCAAAGCCCACTCTTCCTGGGTAAATTCCACAGCCACATCCTCAAAGACCACTGACTCCTAAAACATCACATACGTTCTGGATCAGAAAGGTATCATCTTCCCCAGTGTGTACAAAAGGAAAGGTGAGGCTGGTGGTCCTGAGAATTTATATGGAGGTCACACAAGTTTCTGTCACACAAAGTTTCTACCCAGAACTTTGGCCATCAGTGTCATCCTTTCACTGACTACATTTATTTCCTGCTGGCACCTTATGTCATACATTTAACAATATTTCTAACACTGAATTTATCTCTCCACAGTTTGAGTATGAACTATCCAGTCTTATTCTTCTCTATATTTATGGTTTAAAATAGGCACAAAATAAACCAGAAGGGAAATATATCCTCTATGAATGAAAGACCTATTTCCACATTCAGATTATCAATTCTTTGTGGGAAAAAATCAAATTCACATCCATCCATAAGACCCACTGGAACACACAAAAAACATGAAACACAGGAAGAAAGCAGGATAAGCTATTAATAACTTGGAACAGTTGAGGGAATGGCAGCTTTCCCATTAACTGAATAGACAAAGCAAGCATCAGACCTAGACTCAGATATGGCAGAGATTTTGGAATTAATAGACTGGTAATTTAATACAACTATGATTCTTATGAAAAGGCCTCCAACTGAAAAAGTACACCACATGCAAGAACAGATGGCTAATGTGAGCAGACAAATGGAAGCTCTTAATAAAGTTCAACAGAAAATCCTCAAACTAAAAAAGAACTATAACAAAAATTAAGAATGCCTTTAATGGATCAGCAATAGATTGGACACAGCCAAGAAAAAATCAATGAGCTTTAAAGTAAGTCAAAAGAAACATACAAAACTGAAACACATAGAAAAAGAAATGAGAAAAGAACATATAAGAACTATGAAATAAAGGCAACATATGCATAATGAGAATACCAGAAGAAAAGGAAAGAAATTAAATATCTGATAAGTGGCTGAAAATTTTACACAATTAAAGACAGACCCTAAATCACAGATGCAGAAGAACACTAAGAAGGATATGTACAAAAAATTTACACCTAGGCATATCATACAAAAATTGCAGAAAATGAAACAGAAAAAGAAAAATTTTAAAAGCCACAGAAAAAAACAAATTTTAACTATAGAGGAAGATTAAGTACGCAAATTTGTCTTCGGAAGCCATGCAAGAAAGTAGACAGTGGAATTAAATATTAAAAGATGAGGAAGAAAACAACTAAGCTAAAATTCTATGTCTAACAAAATTATCTCTTGAAAGTGTTATCAAATCCACCTGGAGAATGATGATAAGTGTCCCAGTGCAGCCAAACTAGCAACAAGAGTAATATGCCTGCTCTGTTGCCAGAATATATGAAAATAAAAAATCAGGATGAAACAAACCAACATACAATCAACAAATTAATACTGTAACACTACAATGTTTCAGAGATAAGAGACAATTTCAAATCACACACTGAAAAACAGAACAAGATGGATAAACAAGCGACCAAAACACAGGGCCAGAAAATCTTCCAGGGAAGAAATGCTACTGGGACTACATGATAAGGAATTCAAAAGAATTATATTTAGGGACCCTCAATGAATTGAAAGAAGGTTCAAGGAAACTACAGAAAAAATAAGGAAAACAAAGACAAAACTCTAGAAGAATTTAAAAAAAAAGAGAACTGACAAAAGGAAAATTAAAAAACATTCAAAAACAACAAATAGAAAGAAATCCAGAAGATTACTACTAAAATTTCAGAAATAGATAATGCATTGGAAGGACAAAGCAGTAGAACTGAATCAATGGAATGCAGAATTAGTGAGCTTGAAGACAAACTTCTGAGTACTGATTTGTTACAGGAACAGAGTGAAGAATTAAAAAAAAAAAAAATGAATAAAGCCTAAGAATTATATGGGCCACTCATCAAGAGGATTAACTTACAAGTCATCAGAATTCCAGAACAGGAAGAGACAACAATTTTAAAAAGGCACTGAGAAAACCGTTGAGGATTTGTTGGATGAAAACTTCTCTAATATCACGAAAGACAAGAAGATACGCATTCAAGTTCAATTAACCTCAAATAGGGCAGACTCCAAAAGATAATCTCCAAGACATATCATAATCAAACTTAAGAATGCTAAAACACCTCAGGAAAAACAAAAAGTCACCTATAAAGGAGAGCCAGTAATATTAAGCTCTAATTTTTCAGCAGTAACCACGCAGGCAAGAAGGAAACGGGATGACATACAAAATCCTGAAAGAAAAAAACTGCCAACCAAGAATTACATATCCAGTAAAACTGTCCCTCAAATGCAATGGTGAAATTATGACATTCCCACATAAACAGAAATAAAAGGAATTTGAAAAAAAAACAAAAAAACTTTACAAGAAATGCTAAAGGGAATTCTCTGGACAGAGAATCAACAATAGGAGCCAACAACTAGAGATTAAAACATACAACATCATCTGGAAATCAACACAGATATGTAAGTATCAAATATAAAATAAACCTAACAAGACTGAAAATAGGGAACCAGAGATGTCAATTTGTAAACAATGACAACTACAAAGCAGAAAGAGGGAATACATGATATATTTACAGAACTTCCAAATGCAGAGGAAGTCAAGACAATATAAAAATAGAACAGGCTGCTTTAAACTTAGGAGGATAATAAATCAATTACAGAGTAACCTCAAAGAAATTTAGTATACTTTCTCACCAAAATAAAAAAATAAATAAAATCATAAAATCTTAGTAAACACTAAAACAACAGCAATGAGAGAAATAAGAAAATCCATAAGCAAAATGAACTCAGCACAGATAAATATACTGAACAAAGAACTCATCAACACCACACAAAAACAAACCCCAGTAAAATGGCAGCAGTAAATTCATACCTATTGATAATTACACTGAATGTAAATGGATTAAATGCACCATTCAAAAGACAAAGAGCAGCAGAATGCCTAAGAAAGCATGACTCATCAATATGTTGTCTACAAGAAAGATCTTAGACACAAAGACAAAAATAAGCCAAAAACCAAAGCATGGAAAAACATATATCAAACAAATGGCAGCCAAAAAGGAGCAAGAGTGGCAGTGCTAATTTCTGATAAAATAGACTATATGGCAAAAGCCAGCAGACCCATCACAGATGAAGAAATTGAACAGATTATCAAAAAAAACTTTCCCCCCAAAAAAATGTCCTTGCCCAGATGGCTTCACTGGTGAATTCTACCAAACATTCAGAGAAGAGTTGACACCAATTCTATTCCAACTATTCCAGAACATAAAAAAGGATGCAATACTCCCAAACTCATTCTATAAAGCAAGCATAATTGTGATATCAAAACCAGGCAAAGAAAATTATAGACCAAGATCCCTCATGAACATTGATGCAAAAATTCTCAGCCAAATACTAGCCAATAGAATCCAACAACATATCAAAAAAAATAATACATCATGACCAAGTGGGATTCATACCAGGCATGTAAGGATGGTTCAATAGTAGAAAAAATCAATATAATCCACCACACAAATAAAGCAAAGGAAAAGACAGCCCCCCACACACACAAAAAAAAAAAAAAAAAGAAAAGAAAAGGAAGAAAGGAAGACTATAGGCATTCTCAGACAAAGACAGAGGGAATCTGTTGCCATACAAGAAACGTTAAAGGGAAGTCTTCATAAAAGAGA